CTTAGAGTAAACACACAGAGAAAACAGTTATAGAAATGACTTAGAGGAAACACGGTAAGCACTTAGAAGATTTACTTTGAGAAATAACTATGAAGAAATACTGCAAATCGTACCCATTCAGATATATTTTGTTGATTTCCTGAAATCTTGATTGTTGGTCAGCTCGACTGAAATTCTGTTTTCTTATTAACAACTGACAAAAAGTTAACAAGTATTGCTACATTATTTATTTTACTTAAGCATTTAAATTCTATTTATTGATATACCAAATATTCTGATTATAAGTATTACAATATATAAAATAATTCAAAAGCTTTTCATTAAAACTGCCGTTGTTTTCTAGCTGCAACTAAAAGCTTTCTTTGGTGGCTTTTGCCAGATTTGTGAAATTACTGATGATTATTATTGTGCAGTCTGCAGACGTTTGCAAATAATAAAGTCAAGGCAGCCAAATTTAAAGCACAACAAATAAAATATATAACAAAATAATTATGTACAACGAAAAAGAGACAGAAGATGACACAAGTAAGTTACATTTCTGGCAAGACAAAAAACAAATAATAATAATAATAAACAAATTCAAATCGTTACCCATGTAAAGCTCTGACGACACTGACCTCCACAACAAAGGTATTGACCATTGGAGATCCGAAGGAAGTCGTAAGTCGCAGAAAAGCTAAACAAGCTAAGATCGAGAATAGTTTCCGCGCGGACTGCACAAATTATTTGAGTTTAGTTTTGATGGGAAATCCAACGCCAGTTGACGATGTCAGCGGCCTGTGTCCCATTGAATGGTTTGGAATGGTAACGTTCGCCTTCGAGAAACAGCCCACTCGCTATCAATTTTACTGCTACCCCGCGCAGAAAACAAAGCCCAGGCATACGTATCTAAATTACTTTTATCAGACAATCAATGCTAATGCCGTCTTACGGGATGTTCGACGCTTCCTGAAGGAGGAAAAATGGATATCCAAGAATGCTATAATAGGTCCACTCAAAGGAGATGTATACCCTAATGCCTATAAGCCTGAGGAATTTTATATTTTAGGTTTTGTTTTCAAGGCCTTGAATATTCAAAGAGCGAAGGTACTTCCGTATTTGATGTACTTGCACAGAGAACATGCACATAAAACGCAGCATTGATAATAAATTAGTTAAAATCAATAGATGTAAGACCTGTTGAATAACACATTTATAGATTATCTTATTTAAAGCTAAAACAATATTAAATCAAGAGCAAATAATGGAAAACAACAAAGAAGATGTAAAACTAGTAAAATATATATTTATATTAATTATATTTATATTAAAAATATATAGTTTATTATTTTAATTAATAGAAAATAGTGTAAAATAAATATTAAATTTTTCAGATAATAGGGAATCGGCTTTTAGTTATTTGAGTACAGATATCTTTATTTTATTTATTGGGAAATTTATGTAATTGAAAGTTTTAAGTCACATAATAATATTTAAAACATA